TCTTTTTCTGATTTTGCAAATGCACCTCCAACAAGTGCAATATGTGAATTATTCCATGTATTATTATCTACAATAGTAGTTCTATTGGCAACAGCAGCAAGTTGATATCCATAATCCCACCAACTCATAATTTTAGAGTCTTTAGGAGTATTTTGATTTAACCATCTATAAGAATCTCTCAGATCATCAAAAACTATAAAGGAATTAGCTCCTGTAGGCACTTTCATTACAATTGATGGACTAGAATAACTTTCTCTTCCAACAAATAAACAATGATTAACATATGATAATAAACATAATGATAAAACCATAAAAATGAAAATTCCTACATTTTGCATTAAAGAGTAATTAGAACTACTTGTTTGTTTCTTTTTGGTTGATACTTTTTTAGTTTGTTCTTGGCTTTCTTCTTTAAAAATCACTTTAACAGCAGAACTATACATTTCACTAATACCAATAGAAGCAACGATACAAGCACCAGTAGATAATATCAAAATTAAACGAGACATAACTCCAGAGAAATAAACTGTTGTCATTACAAATAAAACAGTGAAAATATTTTCATCTGTTATATTCTTTAACATAAAGTAAATTCCTAATGGAATAAAGAAGCAAACTATATGAAGGTCAAAGAAAAATGTTCCCCATGACGTTGGTTGATGTTCTGAAACAGATGCAATAATTGGAATATGTTCTTTAGCATAAGTAGGATCAAGAAGAGCATAAAACCTACCAGTCCAAGGAGAAATCTTACCAGTAAGAGTTAACACTGTAATAATAAGAATACCAGTTATAATACTTGTCATAATACATTTAATATAAAATCTTTTAAATTGTTGTTCAGATAATTTTGATTTAATCCAGCTAAAGAAAACATATATTTGAATAAAAATAAATACAAACATTGATGCCATATGTTCAGATGAACGAATAGGTTGGAATCCAATAAAAGAAACTTGCATTGATAATAAAATACCAATAACATAAAATGTTGTATATGCAGTATATAATCTATTACTGAATCTTCCAAAGACTAATAATAAGAATGCATGTAATGGAATTAAGTTAATTATAAACACATAAGCACCCCATGAAAGTGCCATATAATAATATGCAAGTGCACATAAAGCTGCTTTAATTGGACTTCCACTTTTAACTGCTCGAATCCAAAGATAAAATGTTAATAATAAGACAAAAATAGAAATGCATTCATTATCATAACTTCCTGCAACTGAACGACTGATATAACCAGGAACAATAGCAATTAATAATGCAGCAATTAATGCAGCTTTTTGTGAAGCAATTTCAGTAGTCATTCTATAACCTACAAGGACAGTAAGTCCAGAAAAAAATGGTCCCATAAATACACAAATCTCTTTTATATCAACTGATAAGTGTAAAAATTCAAGTACCCTAAAGAAAAATACTGAAGTATACATTAATCCAGGATAAACAGTAACACCTACAATACGTCCTAAAGGATACCAAGCAGTTTCATCAAACCAATTATTAAATGCATCTAATCCATTTGCTAATAAATATTTACTGGCTCGATAATTGAAATATGGATCAAATTCATGAATAACACTTTCATATCTTAATACAGAATAAAGTCTAATTAATACTGCAATAACTACACAAATAAGAACATACAATCCTCGCATAGCTGTTGACTGAAGAAATGATTTAACCATTTCCATTTGTCAAATCTACAACTATTTTTTTTTAAGTTTTTTTTCAGATTTTTATTTTTATTTTATTTTTTTATGTTATTATAAAATTAATTTTTTTAAAACATTTTTTTCACATTATATAATAAAGATAAAAACAATAAATTATACGATAATTATTGTTATTTAATAAAAAATAAAAAAAAAGATGATAAGTAGATGAAAATGATTATTTGATATGGTTATTTTAGAAGACGTATTTTTGAAGAATATTGTTTTATACTTACCTACTTTTCATGATATTTCAACTTTTATTCGTATTAATAAAAAAGCAAATCAAATAGTTAAAACATTGTTTATTAATCCATACTTTACATCATTAATAAAATGTGAAAGTGATATTAAATTATTAAAAATTTTATTTTACTTTCCTATGATACAAACAGTACAAGTTCAATATCATGATTTAGGTTATATAGAATCAACATTAAAAGGTATTGAACAAATTTTTATTCAATACCGGATTGATGATGATTTAAGTCAATTTAGTGATACGACTTTTCTATATCCCCGTTTACTTAATTATAAAGGAGATATTAAAAAAATTCAAAACCAAATGGATAAACTTCAACGAATAACATTAATTAATAGCTCAACGTGTGACTTAAAATATATTATTAACCATATATCATTTTTTCCTCATTTAAAACAAATAACAATTTGTCTAGATTATGGTAGTGATACTATTGATATAGAAAAATATATTAAACAATTAATAGAATTAAGTATTGATGTAAATATTAATTATGAATCAATTGAAGATTTTGAATTTATTGAATCTCTTAGAAATAAAGTTCCTTTATCTGTAAAACATTTCTTTTATTCATTTTGTCCTTTTTCAGTTGTTGATTCTTCGATATTTGTTTTTTTGAATTCAATTTCTTCTTACTTTTATGATAGTTATTTAACAGAAAATGCATCTTCCTTTCAACAATATTATTATCCAATGAATTATAAAGGATTTTTAATTGCTTCTTATTATCCTTTCAATTCTTTAACTTCATTAACAATAAAAACACCTACTCCAACTATTCCTACTATTGGTTTATCTCCTTCTTTAATTGAACTTACTTTCCCATCAGATTTTATTACTCCAAACCTTCCAAACCTTTCAACATTAACTCATCTTCATTCAATATCATTAGGAATACTTAAAACACATTTAAAATTTCCATTATCACTTACATCCTTAACAATAAGTCATTCAGAAACTTGTTTCGAATGTCCTTCTAATTTACAGGTATTAAACTTGTCTTCTTATACAAAAAACTTTAAAATAAATAAAACACTTCAAAGTCTTTCAATTAATAAGTTAAATAGATCAATGAATATTCCACAAACTTTACAAAATCTTTCAATTAAATGTATTGCAAATATAAGTTTATGTTCTTCAATTACTTGTCTTAGTATTTTTATTGAAAAAATTGTTGTTGTTGATGACTTTTTTATAGAAATATTTGGTAAATATATATTCAGATATCCTGTCCCTCCTTTATTAAAACAATTGTCTATTTTGAATTGTAGATGTGTTGATGCAATTTCTTTACCTTCGTCTATTACTTCTCTAAATATTACAATGAATGCAGATAAACAAATACCAAAAGATATTCCAAAATTGTTAAAAATCCCAAAAACTATTCCAAAAGTTTCTATTTTATTTCAATTTGAAAATTTTCAAAGATATAATATTTTTCATAAAATTTTTGAAAATAATGCTCTTCAAGTAGTTAGAAATATTTATAGAACTATAAGTTCTATTTCACTTGAGAGATGTTCTTCTTGTGATTTGGAAGAGTAATTTGAATCTCATCATTAATTTGTAAATGGGTTTCTCTTCTTTTTTTTTTAATTTTTTTGTTTTTCTTCTAAATAAATTATTATCCTTAAGTGATATCTATTAATTATTATCATTTCTATACATTTTTAAATTCATTCATACATATGAAAATTTTAAGTTTAACTTTATTGTGTTGTTTTGTTTTTTATTCAATGAATGTGGTTCAAACTTTGTCTTTATTTTTCTTTTTCTTTATAAAAATTTAACTCTTTTTTGAATTAAAAACAAAATAAATACATTCTTAATAATCCAAAGTGGTAATATTTTTATGTCTTAAATTTTTTATGGTTCATATCTTTGTTTATAATAATTATCATCATATTAATGAAAATTTCATTAATTTTTAAATGAAATTGTAAGTATTTTATGATTAAATAGTTGTAAGTGAATTATAACGCTTAATTTATGAATAAAACAAAAAAGTTCATTTGTTTAACTACTAAAATGCTTCTTTATTTGTACTCAATAACAGAGTCTAATACTATGAATAAATAACTAGTTGATATATATAATTCCAATTACTTGAATATTTACCATAAAGATAAAATTAAAACAAACAAATAGAGTATAAAATAAAAATCTCTTGTAATTATCCAAGTCTTAAAGAAGATGTTATAACTTATTTATATTATTATTGTTATTCAATAATTTATTAATAATACGTAAATACCAAAACAAAAAGGATATTATTCACAATTAAATTCTAATTGAAAATAATTTTCATGCATATATACATAATTTATTTAATCATAAATTGAACTTCTATTCTATAAAAACAATATTAACAATTAAACCTCATCATTATTAATGGAAGGTACTTAAAAAAATTCTATAGAAAAATATTTAGAAAATAATTTATCTAACTTAAAAGACTAATGAAATACTATTTTTTGATTCAAATTAACATAATTCTCAATATCTTCATTATATAAACCTATTAGAAGATTCTTATTTATTTAAAGAAAAGTTTTAGTTTTTTAAGTCATTTGTCTTTATACATCAACAAATAAAACAGCAAAACAAGGAGTTATTTGAAATTGAGAAGACAGTATTATTAATACTAATCATTACATAAATGTAATACTAAATAAAACACACAAAAAAATAAATACAACTCAAAAAGAACTTAAAAATCAATCTGTATTACAATGAATGTAAAACTTGTTGTAATGATTGTTTTATTATGCATAGCTTTTATTACCTCTTTAACCACAGGAATATTATTTGGACCAATTATAGGAGTATGTACATTTTTATCATTTGGAATATCAATAAGTATTTTATATCCATTTTGTTCAACATTCTTGAACAATGTAATTAATCCACGACCGCCAAAACATCAACATTAATTTATTGTTTAACTAAATTTAAATTTTTGTATTTCTTAAATAAGAATCAAATGAAAGAAAAGACTGTAATCAATAATTCAAAAATTATCCATCTTGTCCAAATTGTTCAGCCCATTCACGATGTCTATTAACATCCTCTACAGAAATACTTGATCGTGAGTTTTTGATTGATTTCATAAAGTCCATCATTGTTACTGGTGGAACAACTAATTTACTTCCTTCAATTTGTTTCCAATTCATTTCCATAGCACCTTTATCTCCAGGACTACATGGTGTAACTAAATCATTTTGTATTTCTCCAGTGATTGGAGATGGTCCAGTTACATATTTAAAGTGAGTAGCAGCTTGTAATGTACGTACAGGTTGGTAAATAGCATCTTTACAAAGAGTAGCAATATCACTTCCAGAGAATAATTCAGTTTGTTCTCCAAGTATTTTAAAATCGTTGTCAGTTAATTGATTAGGTAATTTACCTAAATTCCATTTAATCATTTTAGCACGTGCTGATGCATCAGGAAGTCCAATATAAATCCTTTTTTCAAAACGTCTTCGAATAGCAGTATCCAATTGCCATGGAATATTTGTTGCTCCAAGCATTAATACCCCTTCCATAGAATTACCTACACCATTCATTTGAACTAAGAATTCAGTTTTAACACGTCTACTTGCTTCAGTCTCTCCATCCCCACGAGAACTACATAACGAATCAACTTCATCAACAAATATAATACTTGGCTTATTTTTTCTAGCCGTTTCAAATAATTCTTTAACCATTTTTTCTGATTCACCTAAATATTTACTAAGTAATGATGATGCAGAAACTGAATAAAATGTAGAATCAGCTTCAGTAGCAACTGCCTTTGCTAAAAATGACTTACCTGTACCAGGTGGTCCAAACAATAAAATCCCAGTCCATGGTTTTCTTTTATCAGTAAATAATTGTGGAAATTTAATAGGTAAAATAACTGCTTCTTGTAAAGCTTCTTTTGCTTTTTCTAAACCAATAACATCTTCCCAATGTACATTTGGTTTTTCTTTTAATACAGCATTCCCAACAGCATTACTACGAGCTTTATTTTCTGCGTCTTCTTCTTTATCTGGGTCATCTGATTTAACTCTTTCTCCACTTATCATTCTTTTTAAATATTCTGCCCGTTCAACATATTCTTTCACTCGTTTATTAATGATATTAACAACTTTTTCATTTTTTTCAGTTTTTTTATGTGCAACCAAACAGTCAATAGCCTTCTTATAATATTCTAATGCTTCTTTAGAATTTCCTTTTTCATCTTCCTCCATTGCTTTCTTAGAAAATTCTTTTCCTTTATCAAGTAACGATGTCATGTCTTAATGCTTTTTGTTTAACAGATCCGTTTCAATTTTCTAGTTTTCCATTCTATCTCTTATTCCTCACCTTTTCATTTAAACATCAAAAAAAAAAACATCTCAAACTTAAAATCATAGATTGTTATTTAAAACAAATTCTTTTCTATAATTTCATCTATCTTACCATATCCTTCTGTGAATACATTATTCACAACTACTGCATCTGCTTCTTTTTCTCCTTCCATTTCAATAAGTGCATTCTTTAAACGAACTTGGACTTGTTCTTCTGTTTCTGTACCTCTTGAACGTAAACGTTGTTCTAAAATTTCCATTGAAGGAGGTGCAATAAACAAAAAGAATGCTGCCACTTTACCTCTAATTTGTCTACTTCCTTGAAGATCAATATCAAGAATTGCAATTTGATTATTATTAGCAATGCGTTCAATTTCCATTTTTGAAGTACCATAGAAGGCTGTATGAACATGGGCGTGTTCAATAAATTTATCTTCTTCAATCATTTTCTTCATTTCTTCTTCTTCAATAAAGTAATAATCAACACCATTTTGTTCTTTACCTCTTGGTTTTCTTGTTGTGTGTGAAATACTAAATGAAAATTTCCCAGGAAATTTTTCCATAAGATGGTGCATTATTGTTGATTTACCTGCTCCACTTGGACCAAAAAGAACAAGAACCTGATATTTACCCATTATCTGTTTTCTTTTTATTACTTTTAATTTTTTTTTAGTTCCTTTTTTTTATAACAACATGACTCTTGCTTATGTTATTTTTTTTTTTTTTACTTTATTGTGAAGGTATGAATGACACAAAAGAAACAAAAATGTCTGATAGAAACACTTCATGAATTTGTTGTTTTACATCTTATCTATAAATTTTTTCTCACTCATTTCATGAAATTTTGAAAGTTTCAAAATATATCTAAATAAAGAATAGTGTAGTCTTAAAATAAAGTGATTAATAAAAATTTACGATACATCACAATTAGAACTGTGTAATTAAACTTCATCTTTCGGGATTTTATTCTATTGAAAGAATATAAGAAGAAAAATAAAAACAAAAACAAGTATAAGACGAAAATACTAAAAAAAAATGATAAAATAATAAATTATTAATAAAATGATACAAAAAATGAAATAAAAAGGAAGAAGTACCAAAAAAAAATAAAAGAAAGAACTAAAAAATATAGGTTTAATATAAAATGGAAGGAGAACTTACATTGAAAATATGTATAGTTGGAGATGAAAAATGTGGTAAAACATCTCTTACCCGTAGGTTTATTGGAGAAGAATTTAAAGAAGAGGTTGAACCTTTTCCAGAGAATTTAGTTTGTTAAAATAACACTAATTATTATTTAATAAGGAAATAAGATAGATGATATAGTTATTATTAACATGTTATAAAAAAGTAATTAGAAATTAATTTTCTTTAGATTACTAAAGATATTACTTATGAAGGTAAAAAAATTACATTAAATTTAATGGATCCATTAGATGATGGAACTGGAACTACTGCATCTTTTTATAACCATGCTAATTGTATCATTGCATTATTTGATCTTAGCAACAAAGACTCACTTCAAAATTGTAAAAATTGGTTATCATATGGTGATAGATATGTTGATAATGGTTATGTAAAAGGTGTTGTTGGAGTTAAGAGTGATCTTGAACGAGAAGTTACTAAAGAAGAAGCAGAAGAAGTTGCTAAAGGATTAAATTGTGAATATTTTGAAGTATCTAATAAAACAGGGGAAGGATGTACTGAAGTATATGATACTCTTTTAAAAGAATTATATGAGAAATTTATTGCACCAACTGATAAGGGTAATGATAAGAAAAGTCAGAAAAAAGGAGGTAAGAAAGAAAAAAGTGAAAAAAAGAAATGTGTTTTCCTTTAAAACAATTTTCTTTCATTATTTATTTTTCAGTCGTTTTTGTTCATTTATCGTTTTTTTTTACTTAAACTTAATATTTATTAAAAGAAGGAGTTATTTATAATAATAGTATTTGAGTGTATTTTTAATACTTCTTTTTTATTTCTTTTTTTTTGAAAATATTTATTTTTAAATTCAATAACCAAAATAATAATGTATTAAACAAACTTTATTTTTTAATTATTGAATTATTATTATCATAATTATTTAAAATTATTTGTTATAATAAAAAATAATTCAAAACGTTATTATTACGTGAGTTTCAAAAAAGAAAAAAAAATTTCTATTATTGTTATTGCTTGACTAGGTAAATACTGTGTCATCATAACATTATGGCATATCATCATTGTTAATAACATAATGTGTTAACCAATTCTATTAACATTAAACTAATCAATAATTAAATAGTAATTAATTAAGTGCTATTACTTTTATTTTCTATTTTTCTTTGCTCATCAGAGATTAGTTACATTCTGGTGTGTTAAGAGTGTTATTCATCAATTATTCAATTATTTTTTAGCTTTTCAATGTTGAGTATCATATCTTTCTATTCTTCATTCTTGTATTTCTTTTATATTAATACCTTTTCAAACACTATCAACTTTCCTCATTTAATTATCAATCTTATTATTATTATTATTATTATTTTAATTTATTGTATATTAAAATTACTCATTATTTCCTTTCTTATATTATGATAAATGAATATATAATTATCATTGTAATGTTAATATTACAACAAAAAAATATAATAAAAAGAAGAGAAAGAAAGGTATATAAAAAGAAGAGAAATATATAAAAGAATAAAAAGAAAGTATAAGAAGAAAGAATATAAAAATAATAAATCACAAAGAGGTAATAAAATATGAAAAGAAGAAATAAAAAGTGTATTTTTAATGTAAAAATTAGAAATATGAAATAAAAGTGTCTAATTTAATGATGTAAAATGATTAATATTATTTTATTAATGAAAAATATTTTACTCTTTTTTATGTTTATTATTTATATGTATAATTTAAACATGATGTTTATTATATAATCAATCATATGTGTTATGTTATTATAACATGTAATAAGTGATAAAATATAAATGAAAATGATATGAATATATGATATAGAATATAAAAAACAAAAGAATAATAAGAATAAATGATAAATAAAAGGAGAAATGATAATCAATGATATAATAATAAAATCAAAGTATAAAATATAAAATTAATATTAATATAAATCAAAAGAGAATAAATATAAAATGAAAATAGATATAAATGATAAGAATATAAAAATGAATAAGATGAATAAACAAATAAACAAATAGAAAAGAATAACAATAAGAAAATCTAAAGAATATAAACATAAAAAAATAAAATAAGAATAATATAATAATATATATATATAATAAGAAGCAATACTAATGATATAAATAATATAAACCAGAGAACATATAATATCCAACAATAAATATATAAAAATCCCATAGATAAATAACATATAAATAAACGAATAAAAAGAATACAAATAATGAAATATGATTCATCAAATAATCTACTTCATTAATATTTCATACAAAATGAATACAAATGATCATAAAATATAAACATAAATATATACAGATTGTATATTTATCATATTTTTTATTTTTTGATTATTATTTTAGGAGCAAAATATAATAAATGGAAAATTCTATGGATGCAAATTATTTTGCATCTTTTTTCTTTTTTGTAAATTATTTAGATGCATTTTTTCTTTGCTAATTTTCGTACCCCATTTAAACACATGTTTTAATTCTTTACTTAATCTCATCATGAAATATTATTCATTGTATATTTTTCATTTTGATTAGACGTTTCATTATTTCAAAAAATGTTTGTGTTTAAACTCAAAAAGA